TTCTCTCTTGGCCGATGAGAAGAGGGGGCGTGGATTTGCTTCAAAAGCTCATCGCTGCTTGCAGACGGTCAAAGTTCTTCTTTAGAGTCAAAGAATTCACGGTGTTGGAACATGGACGTCTGAACTGAGTCTGACCCTCGCTTTTCTCGGGTGATGGCGCTTCCCGAACTGGGTGAATCCCCTGGCATGGGGAGAACTCCATTTATGTATATTATTATTATATATTAAATATACTGATTTTCCAGGATCTTTATTTAAGCAATTTCCAAGCATGGCAGATGAGTTGACTCTTGGTACGTCGCAGGACATAGGCCGCCACTCGGGTGAAATGAGGGCTAGGGCCTGGGCCAATCATCTGGATGGAAGCTGTAATCCTTGTGTCTTCTGGGCCTCAGCTCGTGGCTGTGCCAAGGAGAAGTGTGATTCTTTGGCATTGGAAACCAAACAGCCATGAAACCGACAAGTAAGATCAAACAGGTTCTTTTTTGCCTGGGTGACACGCCTCCCAACAAGCTCCTTTGTCGTAGAATTTATTCGACATGTGACATCAGGGTAGCTGTTTGAGAGAGGTCGTCTAGATTTCACATGTTTTAACAGTTTTTATGTTTGTTTGTTTCTCCTCAGACGACCGGAAGCAGCATAGAGCCACACCCAGCCACTTCGTAGCTCTGCGCGTCTCGGCTTTAGTCAAAGCTAGCCCGCCTGGCCCGAGGTGATTTTTGCCACCTGGTGCATGAGCCTAAAGCGGAAGACCTTGGGAGGCCCAGGAGAGAAAAGCGAGAGGCCATCAAGCGGGCCATCTTCGCAGACTTCGCAGTCGAGGACGAAGATGAGAGGCACAGGACTTGTCTATTTTTAATGTTTTGTATTCTTTTTCGCATGGATTTCCAAGCGAAGTCTGAGAAAACAGACTGAACTTTGCACTGCCCAATCTCAGAAATTGCATCAAATCATGTACGTCAGGCACAGGCTCTTGCAGGATGCTGCTGCAAAACATCCTTTTGCGCGGAACTTCATCAAGGGTCTCTTGGACAACCCAGCCTTCCATGTCCGAATAGCGGATCAAGATTTAGTTTTTTCCTTGTAGGTCGTCTGTTTACCTCCGCACAGCTGCGGAGCAGGAAGATGCATCTACAAGTTGCATTTTTGCTTTCAATGCAAGACCTACCCTGGTCTTCGAGACCGTTGGTCTGAAGAGTTGTTGGTTTGGTACGGAATTCATTTAATACAGGGCGTTCAGCCCACACTCTTGTGCCAGTGAATGGTTGCGATGGTTTCTTAGAGTTGTACAGAGCTTCACTGGCCTGTTCCTACCCGGTGCAGAACCTCCATCTTGGAAGGACGAGGACTGGGATGTATTAACATTGCAATAGTCTATTCCCAGTTCTATTCCCAGATTCATTTTAAGTCAAGTTCCGACCTATTAATCGCGAAAGCTAGCGCGATAGCTGAGTTCTTCTTTGCCAATATTGTGATGCTGGGATAAGTTTGGTGCCTTAGAGCTTGATCTTTCACGCTAAGGGGGGGCCAGGCCCGCCTACCCTAGCGTGATCAAACACGCTTGGAAGCACGCTCGCGGGTCGCTTCGGGCAATTCTGCTGCTGGTCAGCTACTGGCTTTCTGCTAATTTGCTTCTGTTCTGTTGCTGATGTGCTTGCTGGTCAGCTGCTGATGTTCTACTGCCGCTGCTGGGCTGCTGGTCTGGTGGCGTGCTGCTGCCGGTGGTGTGCACCGCTTTGGCTAGTAAAACGTCGAACGGGAAGAGTTAATTGGCGCGAACCAAAATGCAATATGTGTACTGTGATGTGTGATTTGTTGTTCATGCGTGGTGATTTTTGCGGCAAAGTGTTATCAGATGATGTGATGTTGGTCCTTTTGCGATGCTGTGTAGCGCTCAATGTTGAGGTGCTGAAGTGAAATATGGTGGGTTGGTACATTCGGGGGTGCGTTTGCTGCACGAAACGTATTTGTTACCGTCAGTCTTCCGACTCCGACACGGCTAAATGACAACAACGTTTGGGGTCAGCTGCCGCAACTCACAGCAAGGTCCAATGATGTATTTCCAAACTGTGCCTGGCACGGTCTGTGCCGCAACAACGCGCCACAGCATCACTGAATGTCCAGTTTGTGCCAGCTCGTTTGTCAAGATCTCCACCTGACTATACTTGTCTCATTTTGTCTCGAAATCCATAAATTCTGCACATTTCCGTACATTATTGTAGAACTCTCCGAAATCTCGACTTTATAACAAGACTTTCCGACCACATTCTGAATCGTTTGGGAAATCGAATCTGGACTTTTGGTCATCCACTGCGCCTTCCTTCCCCCTCACGCAGCGGTCGCGCGTGCGAGGGAAACCTCATGCAGATCTCATGTGCACTGCCTGGACCCTCCAAGGGATTGAGGAAAGTGAGCCATTCATGTAGAATGCTGAGATATAAATTCATAACTCCCTATGTGGATTGCAAAGCCTCTTATATACATATATATTATGGTCTCTTCTTCATCAACAGTACTAGTCTACCATGTAATTATCTAACACGTATCCATATGCGGATGCTTTCCAAAAGTTCTCCAAGCGGTTGCTTTTTGGGGAGTGTCCGCTTTCTTGGAGCGGGAGCTTTAGTCGGGAATCACACCACGTCACCCGTTGTTGACGCGTTCCGAGTCCATTTCACCGGAAGCTGACGAAACTGAGACTCATTGAGGACTCCACGTGGTGTTTTGGTTCCACTTGTTCATGACGGAAAACGAGCTCGCACCCGTACATGTAAACGACGAGAATGGGAGAACATGACTTTGCATGGAGCTTTGGGGCACGACCTCTTAAGCGAATGAAAAACCGGACTCGCGAACCTCCCAGCCCAAAGGGAGAGGCCAATAGTTCAAACTCCAGGGCACAGGGTGGTAAAGGGATGTAAAGGGTGTCCATATGTTTTCAGATGTTTTTGTGTTATTTCTTGATCTATGATGGCCGTTTGATTTTAAATCTATTCAGTGCTAGGTACTCTTCTTCCACCTAGTCCAGTGAAAACAGTATAATTTGATATAATTTGCGAATGAGGGTATCCACTTCGAGAAGACAAGAAACCAGAGAGGAAACCCGAAAGAAGGGAGTACCACTTGGTAGTTGTCCGAATCTCTGTCCAGTCCCATGGATGATTTGGGTATCATGGTTTGGGTATCATGCCTGTGCGCAGGAAACAGTTTTGGAAGATCACCGCCTGAATTGAGCCCAAAAAAGGGACTTTCCAACCAAATAGGGTCTGCATAGCCCACTTTCTGCAAACCCGCAGCCCATAGCTGATCGACTCACTAACATTTGCCTTCAAAGACTCACATGTTTTTTGAAAGACACCAACTACACCAACTTCCAAGTCTTGTCGTTGATTGCTTTCGATCATTGGTCTTTAGGTGTTTCGATCTCGCTATGGCGATGGGCTTCCTTCACAATACAAAAATCGGCCAGGAATGGGCCGTTGGCTGATCGAAGTTGATCGTGAACGCCAAGAGAGGTTCTCATGGTTCCCTTGTGAGTCACAACCCGGAGAGTTGAAATCGCAGGTTGACCATGTCGAAAGTCGTCTAGTCATGTCTAGTCTAGTCAATTCTGTTCATGTTCGGTGGTAAAAAGCGCCGGTTCCTTGGTTTTGACCCACAGATGAATTCAGTGGCATCACAGATGTAGCGAGTCTCACAGAGTGCCCCCGCGAATTCACAGGGGTGCCCTCTTAGGGCATCACCAGGGTCTTCGATGATCTTCGATGAACGTCCTCGACAAAAAATGTGGCATCGATTTTTCGGGTGCGGCACGGCCCCGGCCGAGCATCGGTTGCAGCCAAGACGTCGCTTTCGACCCCGCGTTTGAGAAACAAGACAAAACATGGAAAAACGAAGAACCGAAGAACCAGGAAGGGCCAATCTGGCACTAATTAAATGCCCAATCCTTATTCTTATGACCCACCTTGCTTTTGTATGCTGTTGTTGGCTATTTTGACTATCTCCGGTGGATTTGGGGTGTATTTTTGAGCCTTGAACATGGAAAAGTGACAGAACACCGTGGCTTGGGATGTACAGAACACCGTGGCGGCCATCTGTTTCCCACCAGGGCCAATGAATCTCCAACAGAGAGAAGAGAACCATCGGCGTCCTGCACCGGAGTTGCACCAACTGAGTTTGCACGACGACTGTAGGTCGTGAGCAAACGATCCCAGACACGACCCGTCTGGGACTGCCATATATATGCCGCCCCATTGACCCCTCTGGCACCACCCCCACTGATCGGCAGTCCTATGGCAGTCCCATTAGTCGTGTTTGGGGATGGATGATGCGATCCGGATGGATCGCAGTTCTTTTTTTGCGGAGTTTGGTTGCTTCTCAGAGATCCAACAGTTGGAACTGACACTCGGGGCTGGAACTGACATGGACCTCCAATCTCGCTCGGAATTTCTGTCTTTGAGATCGACTCCCAAGGTAAATTGGAGTGTTAATATAGAAACCATGGGTTGAAACCAGTGGTGGTTTCAGATACTGTTTGTTTTTGTTGCGAGTTGAAACCACCAACCAGGTTTGCTCGCTTTTGTTTGAGAAGCAAAGATGCAGGTTCCATGAGTGGGAATGGGCATAATACAAGTTAAGACTCGACATGACTCGACTCGACATCTTTTCTCCAGAAGTTGTTCATTTACAATATTGTTTGTCAACTTAAATTACGGTTGAACATTAAATATTAATTAGTCTTAGTTATGTGTTGTTTGATTGTGTTGTGTTTTGCTTGGTGTTGTTTGCTTTGTTCGGTTTGTTTGTTCAAACATGGTGTTGAATGAGTAACTACCTAATTTTTTTGAAAGACGACTCAGACTTCAGGCTGACTTCAAGCCTCATGTCCTAGATCTAAGTATTCACAATCTCCACCATCTCCGAACCATATCTACCATCATGAATACTTCTGAAGGCATCGGACTCCTCTGACAGGGTGATCCTGTTGAATTTGCCGTGAGGACAGTTGGAAGAGCTCATGAAGGTGGCGATGTCTGGAGATTGGGTTCCGGGACGGGAAGAGGTGATGATAGAACTAGGATCATCCAATTCCAACTATTGCAGATTTTTTTGCCTTTTTTGTCCCTTTTCAAATGTGGTACAGTCAACAAAGACCAGTCAGTCCCAGCGATCAATTTTTTTGTGGGGGAGTCCAGCGATGTTTGCCGTGGTTGGAGGTGTCCAAGGTACCGGGACACCAGCACACAGGTACATGACCAGCACGCTGGTCCGAGGGTTGGATGTCGGAGACTTCCAGCAGTGGTTGTTGTATGTTTTGTTTGACTCGGAACTTCACCAGAGCATCAAGTCAGCTGTCGGAAGGACGAGTCAGCTCATGCGACATTCACACCACTTCACCAATTGTAGTGCTTTTCACATCTTGTTTGCGCCTGTTGAGGCCGTTCCCAACGACCTGGACGTTGAGGCGGATATTGTGGCAGGAGTCCATTGGCCAGGGGAAAATCACCCAAAACAGGAACCAATGACATGGCATAGCCAGGACGCCATCTCAGAACATTCAAGCATCTTTCGACATCTCGTCCATTTCAATCCTCCGATTCTTTTGGTTTCTCAACACATGACCTCACCCCGTTTTTCTGGGCGCGTTGCCGCGCTGCAACCAACTCTGCTGTCGGCACATGCCGGCACCCGCACCTTTCCTCGCCGGAAATCCGGCCGTTTGGTGCAGTACTGCAGGTGCTCACCGTGGATGCCTGTCAGGGTAGCGAGTTCGACTTCGTGATCTTGACCCCCGGCCGCAACTGGTGTGGACGGGCTGAAGTGCACGGACGGACAGGTGCGCCCGTCCAGGCGGCCGTCAGACGGATGGGTTGAGGTGTTCCTTTTTTGACGTCCAAAAACGTGCGGGAGCTTCGTTGATGCTCTTCGTATCTCTTCGTTCTGAGGGTTGAAGAAGAGGTTGGCCTCATTTCTTTCTACAGAGCAGCAATCCTCATCCGTCTCGCTGTGCGCTGTGCACGTCACTCTCTCCGATCAATCAACGTCTCGCCCCCAAGGAGCACCGTACGAGCCAATCGTGAACTTCGTTTGGGCTTCGTAAAGGCGGTGGAGACGTCAACCGGAGATCGGTGGAGACGTCAGGTGGAGATCCATCACGCCTTAAACACCGACATGAAGATGTGAGAAGAATCAGTTGGGGGAAAAGGTCACGGTAAACATTTGTACCATCCATCCATGGAGTGTTTGGGATTGAAAAGTGCAACGGGTCCCGGGTGAGCAAAAGCATGGTCGTTCTAACGGTTGATCAATGACCCCCAGATGTACGGCCGGTATTCATCAAAGAGTGAACGATTTCAGTTTTTGTTTGGATGAACCTGCCAGCCGTTAGCCTTCAAGTTTTCATTATTTCACTTGCCAAAAGCAAAGAGTCTTTGAGCATTCTCGCATCTTTAGGCATCTTTAGGCCAACACCAGGCATGACTCCCCAGCTTGCTTACATCCTGTTTGTGATTTGATACGAAGCGAAGCTTTCCACCAGTGTTCGGCCACCGGTGTAAGCGAACATGTTGCACGGGTTTGGCCCAAGTCTCAACACTGCAGAAGAACGATTTCAAATTCTATAGATTGAAAATGATTGAAATACAAACAAAAGAAGACCCCGAACAAGCAGCTTTGATGCTCAATTCATGGGATTGGTCATGGCCATCCGTGCATCAAAAACCGGCTTGTTTGGGATGCCCCATCATGCCCGCACATGCCCGCACAAGACTTGCAGATCACCCGCTCCAAGACACATGGATGAAGTTAATTGATGTTAATGGTATGGTTCCTTGAACGACTTCATTCGGAATTCCAACATGCAGGATCAAACCATCAAACCCAGGGTATGGTTCCTATTTGGCTTTCGTCATAGACATGGAGTCACTTGTTTCGACATGTTTCGACTGTGTATATCCAATTCAGTATACAGGAACTTTGACACCTTGGCCAGAGACACGATCACTGGCTGCGGCATGGAACCTACTTGCATCCTAGGACCCAGGGCTGTAATGCACTGGAATGTGATGAATGAGGCAGCTCCGCAATTCCATAGTTGATGCAATCCTTTGGGCACATAGCGCCTAACTATAGGAAGGGTTTGGGGTAAAGAAAAAGGACACTCCTTTCCGCACTCCTAACTAGGAAGGCTCACTGCACAACTGTTCCTTTTTGAGCCCAACTTCCTTTGACCCCACTTGGAACACCTCGACTGTCCAGTCCAAGCGACCCCCGCGAAAACACCGCGAAGCCCTTCGAACCGGATTGGTGACTCTGCGGAGCGCACAGGATGCCCAGCGGATTTGTGTGGCCACATCACGATCCAGGCCATAGAGCACAGGGGGCCCTGTCCAGACCGGTTTTTCAGAGAGCACTTTCCCTGGGGCTGTCCACGGAGACAGGGCTGTCCACGACTGGTGGAAGAGGAAGAGATCGGAAGGCTCGGAAGGATCGGAAGGTTCTGAGATACCTTGGGAAGATTGGACTGCCTCGCATGCGTCAAAAGCTTGTCATCAATAGGCTGACCAGCTGAGGGAGCAATGGAAGCTAATGGAATATGGAACGGGTCTAGGGCCAGCGGAGTAGAGAGCTGAGCAGCTTTTTGGTTCCAGAGGTCCTCCGGGAAGCGACGTAGACTGCGAACCCGTGCTTGTTGTCGTCCAGCATGTGGACCCAACATTTGACATGGGTATCTAGCATATTCCACGATGTTCGGTACATGGAGTGTTTCGGGTGAGACCCAATGGCTCCAAATCATTTTCCCATGGCACAGGGTTTGCACCGTTCAACCTCGCTTTCTCCTCCCACTTCGCCTGGCGACTCGCAGGCTGCAATTGTTTGTGGTGGGCCATCGGCAAACCTTAAGTGGCGACGGCGACTGGCGCAAGGTGGCCGAGGCGCTGGGCAAACCGAGGCGTTTTCTTCGGCGCGGCGCTAGGTGAACACCTTTTTGGCAAGGCCCATGTCATACAAACCTCTGCAAGATGTGGGGATGGGTCTAGCCCCAGCATCCACCATGTAGCTTGACCAACATCATATGAGCAACGGCCATTGTGGCTATAAAAGTGGTAGGCCCTCCTCAAAAGCGATCACCTTGCTGAATCATGTCCTCTACTTGTCAGTACGTTTTGGCAGACGCTCATATTCAGTCAACCAAGCTGTCCTGGTTTTAACCCACAACTATGTTGCAAACGGCTCCATGTGTCTTCTTGTTTTGGAGCTTGTTTCAGTTCTATTACCACCGGCCCCAAAACGGGTGCTGGCTGCTATACAGATCCACTCTCTCTCTCTCTCTCTCTCTCTTTGTTCAGCAACGGTGCGGGGTTTTCCCCCACCGCTGCCTTGTGGGTTCCAGGCTTGCACCACCCCAAAGCCTGATGAGGCCGGAGAAATCGGTGGGAACATGGGAGTAGGACGAAGCCTTGATGTTTCACCCTTTGGGGGGCCAACATGGTGTTTGACCTTCACGTCCGAGCCCCAAAACGCAACACGGTGTTTTCTTTATGATGGTGTGATATTGCAGGGTCATAGTAGCAGGACTATATGATATCACAGTCAGCTCCACAATCATATTATTTTCACTATACAAATGGTCAGATCCATAGGAGGCTAGCGATAATATTGTACACCAATCAAAATCATACATCTGTGAGTGATATTCTTCACAAGCTCAACATCTTGACAAGCAATCACTACAAAGCAACCTTCCACAAGACATGCCTCGCCTCTGCACGTGGCAGAGGGTCGGCGCGCTGGGTCGCCGAACGGGCGCAGGTGCAGCCGCAAGGGGCGCTCCCGGAGCGTTTCGTCTCGGTCTTCGATGCCTTGAGACGGGCGAAGGTGGGATGGGATGGTTTGGGAGGCCAAACCGAGGGACCCTGGAGGCCCAGCGAAAAGGCTACAAGATAGGCTACAAGGGAGGGCAAGGGAGGTCTACCATGGATGATTTGCCGGGTTTGGACCGGCAGCCAATTTCTCTCACAAAGCAAATGGTGAACACATGCCTAGCTTTTGCACTTGTCCTGTACTATTGACTCCCGACCTCGCTTGGAAGAGACCAGGAAGATTGGGATTGCTGTAAATTGGAGCAGTACCTAAGATGGTCTCTCCTTAGCTTTAGTACATTCATCATCTATGGGTATAGGATGGTATGGGTGGAATATGGTGGAATGGCGTCGTTTTGTTTTAATTTTTAAAGCTGCTTCAACCTGTACTTGGGAATATTGAACCCACTGACTAGTATTTTGTGTGAGTGCGTTGAAACCACCAACCAGATACAGTAACAATTGGACTGGAGGGATATCAGACAGGTTGCCGAGTTGTTCGTTCGGGCACATGGCACATAGCCATCAGGGTTTCCAGGCACCGTGCTTGCTCACCTGGTTGGTGGAGACCAGTTCCATGCAAAGGAGATCTGCAACCACACAGAAATACACAGAATGTGACGAATGTGTATTAAAAGAGACCGAGCGTAGGTGAGTACCCCTTTCTGCAAGGATTCTTGCACTCCTTCCATGTTTTTCTTCATTCAAGTGCCGCTCGCTCATCATGTCACACGGCTCAGCCATCCATCCGCCCCTTCTGGAGTGGGTGAGGAGCAAGAGGCGGAGCAGAAAGCACTACAAGCCATGGAGGCGGCTGTTTTTGTTCACTGGCCAAACGCTCCAGGTCCGAGGCCTGGATGTGAAAAATACGTACGGAAAGAAGTGCCAAACCGATCAAAACCCGCTTCTTGTGGCACTTGCATGGGCAAATGCGATATGTTTTAGCTCAAACGAGCCGGTTTCAGCTCTAGACTCTAGACACACGCACATGAGCCCCTCGCGCAAAGCCATAGAGAAAAGCACTTCGAACGCACAGGGCCCACTCCGGAAAACTGCCCGGAAAACTATAACTTGCTTCCTTCAGCTTCGGTGTGTGCGAGCGAACTGTTCGAGATTCGTCCTACGCATGTTAAATAGATGGAACACATTTTTTGTTGTTTCATAAGACCTGAACCTATAATTAATGCTAATTACGAAAGCCAGCCTTCGTAGAAGCCGCCAGCTGAGTTGTGTTTGGCGAACGAAGTGAGTAAGTAGGAGGTCTGGGGGGGGTGGTGCTGAGAAACGTAAACTCGAAATTAGGTGGTGTTTTAGGGGTGCACGGAAGCAAGGTTTTTGAGGTTGTGTTGGAGGTGATTTTGTTTATTTTTGAGCGGCTGGTGATGTAAGAAATGCAATTGTCTTCATTTGCATCATCTGCATGTTAAGGTGTAGTTTTACCGAGGCCGATGTGTTGTAGCTTCGTGCAGCTGTGAATGCATAATCTCTTATACACACATATAAGTTTAAAGCACTAATGAGACTTCAAGTCCGTGGATTGCTGCACGTTTCTCCAGGTTATCTAGCGGCTGACGGAAAGGGAAATTGAAGTGCTATACCTGGCGACTGAAATTGAAATTGACGTGCGAGACCTGGCAACTGAATTGTAGCTGCCCTGCGTCCGTATAAATGCTATTTTGCTACACCTCTTACACACCTATATAAGTTCAAAGCAATTCAAAGCTGTGGATTGCTGCACGTTTCTAAAGGTTACCGGGCGACTAATGGAAAGGGTCCTATACCTGGTAACTGCATTGTAGCTACCCTGGGTACGTGGATTGCTGCACGTTTGTCACGGCAGCGGTTGACGGAAAGGGAAATTGAAGTGCTATACCAGGCAACTGCCTTGTAGTTAGCTGCCCTGGGTCCGCGCGCGCGTGCGCCTCAATCTAGGGCAGACCGGGAGCCAGCAAGGCGCCCAGGGTAGCGCACCCAGGTAGCTACCGCTGCACTTTTACTATCTCTCTTCACAACGTGCTCGTGGACAAAAAGCGTTGGTTTTCGTTTTGCAGCTTCTCAGGTTCAAGTTCATGTACCCTGAAAATGTCCTGATATTTATGATATTTGGCTCAGATTTGCTTCCTTGGAGTGTTTGACTTTCACGTTCACAACATGTGCAACATTGGATTTAATGCAAGGGCGACACCTGGAGAAAACCATGCCATCCCAGTGCGCAGGGTGCACATGTCAATTTGCAATGTGTCCATTCGCCCAGAAAGGCTTTGAACAGCCTCTGAACAGCTTGAATGGCTAGACCAGACAAGACATGTGATTTGTTTGACCACTTGTGGCTGTGTATGCATCTTCGTATCCAGGTAGTGCGTGATTGATTGTTGTTCCTTTTTGTTTGGTGGACGAACCCTGCACGTAGTGATGCAGGCACTGGACTGTGTACCCGTATCTCCATGCGACATGGTGGTGAATGATTTTGTCCATCCTAGGGTGCCTGGGCGAGTGCCAACCGGTACACCCTCTCCAAACCCGGCGCGGCTGCTCCGGTCGTCCAGAGGAGCAATCCAAAGGCTCGAAGGGGAGAGGCCGGGGAGGCTGGGAGTTCGGGGAGGCAGGTGGTCCAGCTGGGAAGGAGGTTCGGGATATTGGCGCACAAAAACAACACAAAAACTGAGACCACTGAGAAGAGATTGGTGAAACATCTCCGGTTGTGAAGTGGGTTAGGAATCAACTGTCAACATCACCCAGGAAAAGGTGTTGGAAGGTTGACAGTTTTTCTCAGAAAATTCACTAACTGACTCGCCTCTTGGTCTCTTGGGCCGTCAGGTAAGAGCACCCAGCGCGAGCAGAGCGCCGTGTCCTACTATGGTGCTGGGCCAAGCAGCGAGGGGGATCGCCCTGTGGATCCCTATTTTAATGCGCCCATATATCCACCCTAATATGATCTAATATGTTGTTTTTTGGTTGTGTATTGCAATATAGGAGACCCCCCACAGAACTCGGTGTTTGTATGTGGTGGCTGGTGTTCGTCTACTTGTCCTGGTAAAGTTCGAGATCTGAGACCGGGGTCTCGGTCTCTTTGTGCATGACAATATTGTCTAACCCTGAAACTCATTTATATATTACAGTATTGGAATTCGGCTGAGTTTTTAAAGTGGTGGACATTACCGATTTTACGCATGTTAAGCCTGTCTCCCATACTAAGGTGGTCAGCTTCGACTGAACACCAATAGGATTCATTATGAAGATGAGAGGATATCAGAGGTTATTTCAACAAAAATACCACACCGTATATCATCATCATCATCATCATCATCATCATCATCATCATCATCATCATCAT